ACTGCTTAAGCGTTAATGACTAACTTCATAAAAGGAGGCGAGGCGTGAGACAGTCGGGGCCGCCGCGGGTCGCAGGTCACTTTATGAGCCTGACGTAGGTGGTGATCCCCCCGTTTGGCCCTTAACTGGCACCCAGCCCTCCTTTTGTGATCTCTAAAGCTGTGCTCTACGTAGCAGCTACATCAAGGGAATAAATCTGTCACAGGCGTCAGCCTTCTGCGTCCTCGTTACCGACTGGCCGGCTAGGATTGCCCGAAGATTAATTTCTGACGAATAGCTGGCATCCTCTTGGCCACCGCGGCGAAGGCGGACAAATTACACACCGCAGTAGAAGCGATCGCTTCTACTTCTTATCAACTAGTTCATGGTACTCGCTTCTTCGCTTGTGTTGGCAAATTACACACCCTTGGTGACTTTACTGCCCGTGTGGAGACGGACATCGCTACCTAGGAGGAGGCGCTAAATTACCGCTGGGCCAGCAGCTGAAACAGTAGTCCTATTTTCCACCTCCTGGTCAGGGAGAAGACGTGAATACACCTTCGTTGATGTCAGTAGCAACTGCGTGTCTGGGCTTTTAGCTAATACCTGTGTTGTTAGTACGGTAAATCATTGCAAAGTTCTGTACTACCGGCTGCCTGTTGGCGGTTTATGAATATTAAAAGGTTATTCCGCAGTAGCTGATGGATTTCAGCTCAAATATTCATATCAAAATTTGAAGCGTGCCTGAAAAGGCCCGTTTGGAAAGATTTATTCCAAGTTACTTAATTTCCTCGGAAATTAAACAAGGCCAGAGTGTGTCTCGATACAACGCTAAAGTAAACCCATTCACCTAACCCCTCATCTTCTCCACCACCACGACCACCACCACCACCAATCGTTTCACAAGCGATGTCGACGCAATTTCAGTTTGTGTTCATTGCGGACACACTTGACTATCACGTGCCAGTCTCGTGGGCCACTTGGAAATTCATACGAATGCATTTGAAGAACCAGTGTCGGTGTCATATTGAGGCAGATTCAACTGCGACGCAGTGGCCACGCTCTGAGGATGGATAAGGAGCGATCGCCCAAGTGGGTTTTCTCTGGCGATGCAGCTGCCCGCTCTTACGGTCCTCAGCGCCGCCGCTTACCCATGCCGCCTCCAGTCCTCCCACGAGCGTGACTCAACCTCCGGCTTGCGACGCCGTGACGCCGATCGATATTTTTCTCTTCACCTACTGGCCTCAGCCAGACGAAGTTTGGACGCATGCGCTTTGGCTAACACTTGCCTGGTGAGAACGCTAGCTGCAGCTGCTTGCGCTGATGCATGTTTGTTCCCGTCTTCATAAAAAACGAATGTCCACCTGCCTTCCGATTTGGGAACCTGCAAGTTGTCGATCACCGAACTTTCACAACGTCACCATGGCTGTTGGTGACAAGGCGGGCAAAGGCGTCGTTGAAAGAATACCCTGAATCCTTTACTTGAGTAGCTGCCTATTAGTCTTGAGACCGAGGAAGACCCCGTGCTGAATAGGCAGGTAGGGCGCGCGGTAACAATCGGGAGAGGGCACCCAAAAAATACCGCTGGCAAAAGAAACGATCTTATCGCAACTGTCCTAAGCTTTGCAGCCATCGACTGAGCCGCATACTGGCGACTGCGGTAGCTCCTTACCTCTGGAAGTAATGATAAAAATTGATACTCCAAGTGCTCGGTCAACGGCGATCGTATTGCAATTGTCCGTAGGTAAGCTACTATAGAATAATCCGCATAGGGACTACTGCGGTCGCTTGTCAGCGGCGGAAGCTTATATTATGGTTGTTTAACGTAGGGTGGGTCTACGGCGATCGTTTCTCAACTCTATTAAGGTATGCAGGGGTAGATTTAGCCGCAAACCCACTGCTGCTGTCACCCTTCAGCCTAGGTCAAGGCTGATTAACCATGACTCGGTCTGCAGCTGTGGCATCGCAACTATTGGAAACTATGGTAATCTAAGTGAGACAACATGTGCACTATAGATTAGACAGAACTGAGCTCGGATGAAGCAACATATATGTAGGACCATAATCTACTCAAATAGATAAAGCAGGTATTATTTCTAGGCAAGAGATATTTGGATGCCCTCTCCCGATTGTCACCGGGCGCGTTGCCACGAGGACTAGAGCTGCAATGTACGGAACAAGTCGTTGAGGAGAGGCTAAAAGCGAAATGAAGGAGGCGCGTTCAGGCCACACATCGGACTGGTCGGGCATCTTCGGAATAACAGTTCGCTCAATTAAGAACTCCCGGCACAGAGGATCACCATCACCATCTACAACGTTAAAGTAAACCCATTCACCTAACCTCCCATCCTCTCCACCAC